TTATTTGGTTGTGGGAGCAATCCATAAAACTGCTTGTGATCATGTAACTCCAGAGTTAAGAATTCTCTAACCCCCTAATCAAAAGAGTATGTAATCACTGGAGGCAAAACTGGAAGTGGTTAGACTTTGGTCGGTAAAAACCTAATCAATGATCTAGTACGAGGTTTAGAGAAAGTCTGCAGAAAGATTAGCCTGCACAAAGAGAACAACAATCTTTACTCAGCATGTCTAGGGAACAGAGACAGAAAGCCCAAGGAGGAGGAAATTCTCTGTCTTTGAAGAGTACACTTAGTTATTGGGCAAGAATAATTTGCCAGGTTTCACATTTCTGAACAAAATCTCTCTCAAAATGACTGACCTCATTTTGTTCTGAGTCACTGACTAATCAACTGGTTGATTTGCCTTCCAGAACTTTGAAGACAGTTATATTGGCATATCCAACTTGACATTTTGCTTAATTGTTTTTGGGCCACACCCAGCATTGTGTGGTAGAATCCTGACTTCAATTTCCTGCTCCGTTGTCTGGAGTCACTCTCAGTGGTGCTCAAGAACCACGTGGTGCAGGGGATTGAACTCTAGTCTCCCTACATGCAAAGCCTGCACTTAGCCCATTGGGTTATCTCTCTGGACCCTCAGTACATACAATTTGAGTCTGGTGGTTGTCAAAAATGAATTTGAACATTTTATTTGATTTCTTCTTTTTTTATTCTTCTGGGTTAAATGTTAATCAACTCTGGAACACTGAAAACAATAAGGTTACCTTAACTGTAATAATCAAGTTAATGCCATCCTGGGAGATCCTGATAAACAGATATCCAGACTTTCTTTCTATATCTTGATCTTATTATAATCCTCAGAACCTATAATTTTTTTTTCTTTCTGGGCCATACCTGGCAGTGCTCAGGGCTTATTACTGGCTCTGTCCTCAGGAATCAAGTGGGGTTTGGGGGGCCATATGGAGATATGGAGTGCTAGGAATCAAATCTGGGTCATCACATGCAAGACAAATACCCGGCCCACTATACTATCTCTCCAACCCCAGGAGCCTGTAATTTGGTTGCATTCACACACAAAAGATAAATAAATATAAAGTCAATAAGAATGTCCAATTTACTTATTAAACTCTCCCTTGAACTCCTCTGAGCTAAATTAGAAACTGCATTACATTGGACAGAAGAATAAATCAAATCAAATCAAATCCATAATTTCCTTATTTTTCTGGAATGAAAATGTCTTAAAATAAAAGCACCTGTGTTTAAAATACTTATGCTATCATTGACTTGACATCAGTCACAGAAGTTGAGTTTGAATAACTGTAAACTGATGAATAAAAAGTATAACAGAAAATGTGCTCAGAAAATATGGACCAAAGGAAAGAATCAGTACACAACAAGTATACAATGAAAAAACCGCGCTGGAGTGATAGCACAGCGGGTAAGGCGTTTGCCTTGCATGTGGCTAACCTGGGTTCGATTCCCAGCATCCCATATGGTTTACAAACAACGCCAGGAGTGATTCCTGAGTGCAGAGCCAGGAGTAACCCCTGAGCATTGCTGGGTGTGGCCAAAAAAGAAAACACAAAAACAAACAACAAAAAAACAAACCACTTATCTTTGGACCAGGGATGTGACTCAAGGGATAGACCAACTTTGCATATGTGAGGCTCTGATTTCAGTCCCTCGCACTACACTGCACCCCCGAGCATTGCTGGGAGCGGCCCAATAATTAATAGCAAAAAATATAGATCAATGAAGATTTTGGGGCTGGAGAGATAGCATAGTGGGTAAGGTACTTGTTTTGCATGCCACAGACTCAGGCTTGATCCCTGGGCATCCTGTGTGGTCTTCTGAGCTGGCCAGGAAAGATACCTGAGCACCACCAAGTTTGGCCCCCAAACTAACCCCTCCACCACCAAAACAGAGATATTTCGGTTGTGGGGAAGGTAGAGCAGCAGGAGAGCACTTGTATGTACAGGCCCTGGGTTTGATTCCTAGCACCACCAAAACAATATAAAGAAATGTTCTGTCCTTTCCTCTTTAATTTCCAGATCCTTTCCCCTTTGGCTATTTAAAGATATATCATCTTTAAGAATAAATCTAAAATTTTAAATACTCTGCAGAAGAACTACATGCACATAATTTTAGTAACCAGTAAAGTTCAAGAACTATGAATAATATACTAGAAATCTGTTGATTTATACTGTTTATACTTTGGAATCACAGACAAATCACAGTACAAACAACTTTAGAATTTCAGAAGAAAACCTGGTCTTAACTCAAAAAGGTTTTCTTTGCCTGTTTCAGTTTTTATTGAATGAAACTTACTTAGAAAGATGTGAGGAAATGGCTAGAGAGATAGTACAGCAGGAAGGGATCTTGCCTTTCATGCCGATCTGAGTTTATCCCCAGCATCCCATAGGATATCCAGAGGACCATCAGGAATAATTCTGGAGTGCATAGCCAGAAGTAAGCCCTGAGCATTGCCAGTGTGACCCAAAACAAATAAACAAAACAAATGTGAGGGGAGAGATAGGAAGGAACACATGTTCATGAGGTTTTGTTTTGCTTTTTTCTTTTTGGGTCACACCCAGTGATGCTCAGGGCTTAGTCCTGGCTCTGCACTCAGGAATTACTCTTGGCGGAACTGGGGGACCACATGGGATGCTGGGGATCAAACCTTGGTTGGTTCGATTGAACCAAGGCAAACGCCCTGCCCACTGTACTATCTCTCTGGCCCACACATGCTCATGAGGAAACATGAACTTCAAAGAGCAAGCAAGCAAGCATATTCAGGAGAGAATACTGGCTTGAAGAGCCCCGAAATTGTCTTTAATCTCAAAAAAGTCTTCAATTTAAAATATCCTTCTAAGGGGGCTGGAGAGATAGCACAGCAGGTAGGTCATTTGCCTTGCATGCAACCGACCCGGGTTCGATTCCCAGCATCCTATATGGTCCCCTGAGCACCGCCAGGAGTAACTCCTGAGTGCAGAGCCAGGAGTAACCCCTGTGTATCGCCAGGTGTGACCCAAAAAGGAAAAAAATAAATAAAATAAAATATCCTTCTGGGGTTGTTGTTGTTCTTATGATTCTGGCTCTGTGTGTGTGTTGGGGGGAGGGGGGGTTGGTGACACTCCCAACTATGTTCAAGGCTTACTCCTGGTTCTGTGCTCAGAGATCACTCCTGGTGGGCACCAGGACCATATGAGGAGCTAGGGATGGAACTCAGTAGACTACATGCAAGACAAGCACCCTACCTGATATAATTTCTCAGACTCTATTTTGTTTTTTTATGGGCCCCAGAATGATGCTCCTGGCACTATGCTCAGGGTTGTTAATGATGCTGGGCGAGTACTTAGTGTCAGGTTAGAGCCGGCCTCCAGGATGTGAAGCATATTCAGTCCTTTGAGTTATCTTCCCACCCCACTTTTGTCAGGTTTTTTTTCTTTGGTAAGATGAGTTGAGCACTGCATCCATCGATGCTCTGCAGTCACTCCTGGAAGTGCTCAGGAGACCACTTGCAGTGGGGATGTAACTGGTGTTTAAATGTGCAAGGTAAGCACTGTGCCTGGTTCTGTGCTCAGGAGACAATATGTGTTGGCACAGAATCATACCAGGGTTGGGGCAGTAGGCAGGTGCCTTAACCTTCATACTGTATCTTGGGTTCCCTTCAAGTATTTTTTGCTGGGTTTGTTTTTAGGGACACGTGCTCAGGGTTTACTCCTAGCTCTGTTCTCAGAAGTCACTCCTGGTAGGATGGGGGTGGGGGAAGCTTATGTGATGCCTGGGATTGAATTTAGGTTGGTCACATGTGGGACAAGCACCCTACCTGTTGTACTACCACTCTGCTCCCTTTACTTTTTTTTAAATTTAAATTAAAAATTTATTTATTTATATATTTTTTGGTCACACCAAGTGATGCTAAGGGGTTATTCCTGGCTCTACATTCAGGAGTTACTCCTGGCGGTGCTCAGGGGACCCTATGGGATGCCGGGGATTGAACCCAGGTCGGCAGCATGCAAGGCAAATGCCCTACCCGCTGTACTATCACTCTGGCCCCTACAAATATTTTTTAACCCCAGCATTTCATATACAAATCCCTAAAATGTGTGTGTGTGTTGCGGGGTGAGAGGTAGTTCAGAGCAATAATATATTTGCCTTGCACACGGCCGATCTGGATTTGATCCCAGCATTTTATATCTCTGAGCACCGCCAGGTGTGGCCCCCCAAAAAACAAACAAACAAAAAAACATATCTCTGGGGAAGAAAATAAAAAAGGCTCCTCCCTGGGCCACTATGCATGCAGAATCGGTTCTGGGCGGCAAGAGCGAAATTTTCTAACGGGTTCGATTCTCACACACTCTGTTTTTAACTCATTTGTATTTCCTAAGAGAAAGGGACAGGAAGTAAGCATCTCCTGTGGACAGAGCATCTCTCCCTCCAGCAGTGGTCTGGACACTGGTTGGCAGGTAGGTACCACCAGTGCTAGAGAAGGGCACAAACGGCCGCCACTAGGCACGGGAATGCTACGCTGCGCTGCAAGGAGTTCTGAACAGAAGGTGGAACGACAGAGAGTAGAAACGGCACGTGGAGTATTTAGAAAGGAATCTAAGCGGGGCTCCCCTAATTTAGACGCTTGTCTGAGCAGCCCACGGTCTGGTCGTAGAAGGGGCGGGAAGACAAAAAAAAAAAAACCCTACACTTGGGCTGTCAATCACCGGGCGAGCGGCTCCAGGACGCCCCCGTTTCCGCAGCAACCGCCCGGTCCCGCCTCCCCTGACCCCTCCCCCTGGAGCCTTTCCCGCCAAAGGCCGTTAGTGCCGTGGAGCATGCCGGGACAGGGCTTTCAGGCTAGGTTTCACCAACCCCTTTGCAGGCGCCGCGTTGCTTTAGGAGGCTCGGTCCCGGAGCCGTGAATTAGTCTTAAGCGAAGAGCAAGGGCCAATCATCTTTTGAATGAGGTGGTGGTGGTGGTCTGCATTTTAGTTTTTGGCCCGGGTCTCCACTGGCCGAGCACGCCGCCCCGCGGGCACGGGGGGGACTCTTTTCCCCTCCCGGCGGAGGGCGACGGCGCGCGACAGCGTGAGCGCACTCGCACGGCGCCCGTTACGCTGCTGCGCGTGCGCGCGGGGCCCGGCCGGCCGCTTCCTCCCGTCTGGCTTCCTCCCGCCCCGCCGTATCCGTGCGCCGAGCTGATAAAGGCGCCATTTTGGAGGGGCCGCGGGAGACGTGGTGTCGCTGCGGGCTCGCTCTGCCGTGCGCGAGGCTTGGTGGGAAGGCCTGCTCTCGAGTCCGCGCTTTTCGTCGCCGCCATGTCGGGAGGTGGTGTGATCCGTGGGCCGGCCGGGAACAACGACTGCCGCATCTACGTGGGGAACCTACCTCCAGACATCCGAACCAAGGACATCGAGGACGTGTTCTACAAGTACGGGGCCATCCGCGACATCGATCTCAAGAACCGCCGCGGAGGACCGCCCTTCGCCTTCGTTGAGTTCGAGGACCCGCGGTGAGGCGACCTATGGCTGGCGGCCTTGGAGGAAAATAGATCGGAGCGTCGGGGCGGGGGGGCGCCCTCCGAGAGAGAGGCGTGGGGTCGGGGGGTTACGGGCCGGGGGGCCGCCTAGGCTGGGGCAAGACGCTATCTCCCCTGCAGGAGTCGATTAAAGGAGCTGAGTCGGTGTGGCTGCTCTGGTGCTCTGGTGGCCGGGCCCACGGACGTCCCCAGAGCCGACTCGCAGGCTTGGAGCGGGAAACTGAGGCGCTGCGGGGCCGGCGTAGTGGTCTGGAGCCTGGCGTGCCGCCGGGTGGGGGAGGGGCCGGGCCTATTATGCGGCGCATGTGGGCTCGTCCGCGCGGGGTGCGCATGTGCGGGGCCGGCTCGCGCCCCGCGCCGCCGGCGGGCCGGGGCCGCCGGGCTGACCACGCCGCGGCTTTCTGTGATCGCAGAGACGCGGAGGACGCGGTGTACGGGCGCGACGGCTACGATTACGACGGATACCGCCTGCGAGTGGAGTTTCCTCGAAGTGGCCGCGGTACAGGCCGAGGCGGCGGCGGGGGTGGAGGGGGTGGAGCTCCCCGAGGCCGCTACGGCCCCCCGTCCCGGCGATCGGAAAACAGAGTGGTTGTCTCCGGTGAGTTGACCCTGCCCGCGTGCGTTGATCAGGAGGGAGCGAAGCCCCCCGCCCCTGCCCCCGCGCCCCGCCCCCGCCCCTCTTCCCCCTTTCGAAGTTTCTCCTAGCGTGACCGGCGCAAGTGGTTGTGTTAGGTCTTGTTTGCCCGGTGAGTTGAAGGCACGAGGATCTGCCGGGATGAAGATCGACCCCCTACTGGGTTGCCGTGCCTGGCCTGTGAAGAGCCTTACTTCACACGTAGTTTTGTGGACTCTGGATTCCAGAACCGTTTTAACGCGCTCTTGCCCTGGGACCTTAGACACACAGTCGTTGGTGGATGTTGAGATGACCTGCGTGTTGATGTGAGCTGTGCGCTTGCCTGTGAAATTTGGGATAATTGGTGTTGGGAAAAAATCGCTTTTTCAGGACTGCCTCCAAGTGGAAGCTGGCAGGATTTGAAGGATCACATGCGTGAAGCAGGTGATGTATGTTATGCTGATGTTTACCGAGATGGCACTGGTGTCGTGGAGTTTGTACGGAAAGAAGATATGACCTATGCAGTTCGAAAATTGGATAACACTAAGTTTAGATCCCACGAGGTAGGTTATACGCTTATTCTTTTCTTTGGCCAGAATTGGATACAGTGGTCTTAACAGTGGAATCTGAAGGTAAGATTCAGGCCAGGGTTGTCCGAGTAAGCCACGTAAAGGGCCAGATTCTGGTTTTAGTTGCTTTGTGTTCATTCAGCATGCCTGAAGACAGGTGAAAGCGTAGATCTTTCAATCGAAAGTTCTGTCTATTCAATAGGGAGAAACTGCCTACATCCGGGTTAAAGTTGATGGGCCCAGAAGTCCAAGTTATGGAAGATCTCGATCTCGAAGCCGTAGTCGTAGCAGAAGCCGTAGCAGAAGCAACAGCAGGAGTCGCAGTTACTCCCCAAGGAGAAGCAGAGGATCACCACGCTATTCTCCCCGTCATAGCAGATCACGCTCTCGTACATAAGATGATTGGTGACACTTTTTGTAGAACCCATGTTGTATACAGTTTTCCTTTACTCAGTACAATCTTTTCATTTTTTAATTCAAACTGTTTTGTTCAGAATGGGTTAAAGTGTTGAATTGCATTCTTGTGTAATATCCCCTTGCTCCTAACATCTACATTCCCCTCATGTCTGATAAATTGTATTTTAAGTGATGTCATAGACAGGATTGTTTAAATTTAGTTAACTCTCCATGCTCTTCAGACTGTGATTTTGTGTAAATGTCTATTCTGCTCTGGTTTGTGTGAAATGGGATGTTGGGGGTGTTTGTGATTATCTTACCTGGGGAAGTTCTTATGTTTATCTTGCTTTTCATGTGTCTTTCTGTAGACATATCTGAAGAGATGGATTAAGAATGCTTTGGATTAAGGATTGTGGAGCACATTTCAATCATTTTAGGATTGTCAAAAGGAGGATTGAGGAGGATCAGATCAATAATGGAGGCAATGGTATGACTCCAAGTGCTATTGTCACAGATGAAATTGGCAGTATTGACCTTATACTAAGAGTTAAGGGTTTTAAAAATGATATACATCTACCTTAAACACTTGCAAACATTTTTATGCAGTTTATCTTTAGCTACAATTGCTTTACTCTTTAAACCTTGGCAATTGTAGCAAAATTGCATTGCCCATTTTGTAACAATTTTATCTTTCTCCCTTACTGCACCCTTTTTGTTATAATAGGGACTAATGTGGGAAGAACTGGCTTAATTTGTCAATAGTGTTTAGTTACAACTGTTAATGTGTGACCTGCTGTTGGTGTACATGTGGGTACAGGGTGTGTTTAATTCCAACAAGATAGAGTATAATATCAATACTGCTAAATCTGCATGTCCTCTGTGTGACTGATATAGCGTTGCTATTTCATTTTTTTAAGACAAAATGAAAGCAAATTATAGAATTCCAACGTATTGGTGTAGATAATCTAGTTGGGAATACTTTTAAGTCTCACCTTCCCCTTTAAACTAATATTCATAATTGACTCATGTTTAAAACACTTTAATTTACAAATTAAATTGCAGATGGGAGCTTTAGATCTAGTTTAGTCTTAGGTGGGTAGCAATACCAGTAAACTTTTCAACTACATAACTTTTTGCAACCACAAAACCTGTAATAACGCTGTACAGTAACAAGTGTTGGCATTATCAGTTGAACTGTAAATATAAGATGCTTCTTCCAATTAGTCTCTATGATAAAGATTAAGTTTCTAAAATTTATCTGAACACCATTCAGAAACTTGTTTTGGGGAATTTGATAGTTATTGATGTACATCTGTTAAACTGATGACAGACATAACTCATCATTCCCCAGAAACCTTTTTTGATTACAGTATCTAACATTTTGCCTCCTCTTTTTTGGTTTTGCTGGTTATAAAGGTTTGGATTGGAGAGGGCTCACTGGATCCCAATCCTTGGAGCTGGATCATTGGATTCAAATCATAATGTGGATAGGATAGGGAGGATGAATTACAAGGATTCATGGAGCGGGATCAGATTACCAGGAACATAGGAGTGGATTCCTGCCCCAACCAAACCGCATTCGTGTGGATTTTTTTGTTTTTGTTTTTTGTTTTTTATTCAACTCAATTGGCTATTCCAAAGATCATTTTTTCCTATTTTTGACGATTGGAGCCCTTAAGATGCACGATGGAATTGTGTTTTGCGTTTTTTGGTAAAAGGAGCAAAGCGAGGACCTGGAGATAATACAATACGCTGGAGCAATCTCCTTGGAAGGATTCAGCACGAGTAGATGGTAAACATTTAAAGGGGAAAGGGGGGTTTGTTTAAAATAGTAAATCAGTAAGTCATTTCTCTAAATTTAAAGAAAAAAATTGGAGTTGAAGAATAAGTAGGTTTCCAATTGGCTGTTGCCATTTTTCTTTGAAAAAATAAACGTTTTTTAAAAAACTATGCATGGTTGTCCTTTTTCCTCTTCATGTAAGATTTTAATTGGGTGATAGTATATTAGTTAATATCTTAAATTGCTAAGATTCTGACATTTCATACATTTAGTAATCAAAGGTTTTTAAGAGGTTATCTTAGTAATCATATTAGTTCTCCTTGTGAACTGTTAGAAAAATTTTCGGGCAAGATAAAAGGTGAGAATAGATACTTTGAAATATGGTAAGTGGAGTGAGGGGGTTATGGTCTGAAAGACGAGCTTCACAATTAAAAAACAGGCATTCCCTATATTTGGTGATCATTAGAGATCCACACTTTGTCCCAATTGGGTGTGATGGTTAGTAAATTAATGTTGGAGCTAGTTCATGAAAGTCATCTCAAAAGTTGTATTTAAGTGTAAAATTCACAGGTTAGAACTTTCAGTGCATTATGTATTTTTATCAAATTATAATGCACTAGGTCAACTGCTGTCTGATGATCATTGCTAATAAACAGGCATTAGAATTTTGCCTTACAACCCCGTCTTAACCGTAAAGTTTATATTATATCTGAGATACCAAAATACATTGATTATATTTTGTAGTTAGTAGTAATCTCTTTGTGACATTCTTGGTGCTAAATTTTAAATGAGTTGGGGGCAGGGATTTTTACTTAGTTTTCTTTTGATTACTTGATAATCACAACCATCATGCCACTCTGCTGCACCCCAAATAAATCTTTGTTTCCCTTGGGTGCTATTCATACCTAGAAACTGAGCTTATTCAGATGATAATTATAAATAAACTAGCAATCCTGGTAGTGGAGGAAATGGGCTCCTAGAGAGCTGCATAGGTGCTCAGCCAGTACTTTTAAATGGGTCTTGAATATCAGGAAGATAAGGAATACTAAGTTCAAAATATTAAATTCTAAGAGTATTTAAGTAAAAGCACTTGCTATAGATTTTGTTGAGTCTAGTTTTTTCCATAAGAAAAAAGTTTTTTTAGGAACAGTTTTGTTTTAAGATGTGCAGAGTATTTTTTAGATACTATTTTTAAATGGCCTTCTGGACAAGTTGATGTGAGCTAGACTTAGATTGGGTTCATTTGTGTACATTGAAAGTTGAGAATATAGTCCCAGAATAAATTGTCTTAAACTCAAGGTTGTTGAAGCTCAGATTCGCCCTGTTAAGTTTTGGCAGTTGGGCTGAAGAGACTACAGTGGGTTGGGTGCTGCCTTGCAAGCAGCTGACCTGGGTTTGATTCCTGCATCCCATATGGTCCCCTGAGCACAGCCAGGAGTAATTCCTGAATGCAGAGCCAGGAGTAACCCCTGAGCACTGCTGGATATGGCCCCCCAAAAGTTCTAGTAGTTAACCTCAACTTTAGTGAGAATATGTCACATATAGAAATAAGTTTGTGTATAAACTTCCTTAAGCTCAAGGAGGCACAGATTTGGTAAAGACCAAGCAGTTTAAAGCTATGAAGGGTAATACAATGCAAACTGATTTTTAGTCTTAGGAAATGAACCTTACACGTTCATATTGGCAGTTACAAGAAACCCATACTCTGGAATTAGAAGTCTGGCTTATTCTTAATTCCCTCTTTCAGAGTATTGTAGGGAGCCAATAGTTTATTTCTAACCAAGCAAAAGCTTTAGTCTTTAAGAAGCAATTTTTCATAACATCAAATTGAATAACCCATCTTGCTGTTCAGCCCACATCATTCTGGAAATAAAAGGTAAGAAATTCATTTTGATATCCTAAATGTTTGGGATGTGATTCTTTCTAAAAGCTGAATATTTTTAAAAGAATGCTGTTGGAATATGAACAGATTATCCTCTTAAAATGTTTGTTTCCTATTTTTAGTTCATTTATCCACCCATTGTGCTTTAGTATGATAATTGAATTTTCTCACTGTCTTTGAAGCATTATCTTGCTTGTTTGGGCTGACGTTCCAAGTTTCTGTGATGATAGATTTCTTATGTACCTACCTTTTTGCTTTGTATATGAAGTTGTAATGATATAAGTTGTATGTATTTACCATAAATAGTATTAAAAGGAAATTATTAGACTGAAGTTTTGTTGTAAAATAACCCTTATTTGGTTTAATTTACCTTCATCACAGCTTGAAGAGTGAAAGGAGAATGCAGTCCACAATCTCTTATCCAAAAAACTCGTTATTTTATTGTTAACCTAATTGAATATAAAATCTGACTGGATTGGATGTCTTTATTTTGCACTTAACTGTATAACCAAACTACCTGGAGAAAAATTTATATGCATCATTAAATATGTCCACAAGTTTTGTTTGTGTGTTAGCATGATATACGAGTCCCAAATACATCTGTCCTCAAGAGTTTGGATAAGGGATTGTAGAACTAGACAGATACATAGGGCTAGAGTTTTCTTGTCATTTTGGACCTATGAGTGAACACATATCATGATGGACCCTTTATTATTCCTGAGATCTAAGTTCCTTTTTTAGACTGAAGCAGCCACAAGAAATAAAAGGTACAGTCCACATTTCTTTATACAGTTGAATAGTAAGTAGGCTCACTATATCGTACTTCACGTTGGGTCGGTGGGGGTTGGGGTCAAACAAGGGTAATCACCTTAACCCCTGTATAATCTCTGCTCCCAGCTATCTTTAGTATATCTAATAGAATATTCTATCCTTTGGGCATAGATATTTCCAGTATGTTAAAATAGGTTAGTCATAAAGGAAAAGCTGGGCTTGGTATGAAGTAATCAGCTATAAGAAGCGCGTCTATCCATTTTATCTATTGGAATAATAGCAAAAAAAAAAAAAAGGTTGAAAATAGTACTTAAATCAGTACTTTTGCAATCAAATTTTGGAGGTGCTTATTGCTAGACTCATAAGCAGACCCTGACATCTCTGAAGTTTGGGTTGATAGGACGAATTTTTTATTTAAGAAATCACTTGGTCAAGAGCATACATAGCTCAGAGCAGTAGTTACAGGAGTTAAGGCTTTTGTTTTGCAGGCGACCAACCCAGGTATAATTCCTGGCATCCTATATGATCCCGAATCCCTCCAGGAGTGCAGAACCAGGAGAAACCCCTGAGCATTGCAGGGTATGACCCAAGAAGCCAAAAAAAAAAAAGGAGAGATTGCAGATTGAGCCTCAATTTCAGTCTGGCACCACAAGGTCTTGAGTATCGCTAAAGTAAACCCAAAACAAATGCAAAAAATAACTGCAAACCCGGGTTATTTTTTTTAAAAATAACTAATTTACTTAGTAAAGCAGATAAGGCACATGCCTTGCTAGCAGCAAAGCCCGCCCACTCTCAGTCCCCGGCACCATTGATGGTTCTCTGACCACAGCCTGTATTGAAACCTGAAGGCAGAGCCAGGAGCACACCTGAGTGTGACCTAAATTCCAAAAAATGAGAATCTATAGCACTCTAAACTGAATTAGGAGTTAATTTAGGGGCCTGAGTAATAGTACAATAGTAAGGCATTTGCTTTTCACATGACTGACCTAGGTTCAATCTGTGGCACCCCATATTGTCCTTAAGCCTGCCAGTAGTGATCATTACACATTAACAGGTATGGACACTTCCACTCTCACAGAAGTGATCTCAAACTTAAGTAGGTCATACTGTCATCTGTAAATAAACAGGTAAGCATAGTAAGTAAATGGAAGAAATGTTTCAGATTTCACGAGTTTTCCCTTCAGGTGCCTAGGTTTATGGCCCTACATGTGCAATACATATTTTATATAATGTTGATTTTTTTTTTTAAGTGCCATGGCTTACAAAGTTATCCATTGCTGGTCTTTAGCCATACTGTGTTCAAGCACTAATCCACCATCAGGGTTCCCAGGTTCCCTTCCACTTCCCACCCACTATTCTAAGCCTACCCTTGACAGGCACATTTTTATTTGTTTTCAGTGTTGTCTCTGGATACTTAGCTATACCACTCCTTTACACGGTTAATTACTTGGGTTCCCATACTACTGTTGACCATTGCTTCCCATGCAACTCTCCATCTCCCACAACTACCTTTGATTTTCTTTCCTCTGTCCTCCCTGTGCACTGGGGCCAAAAATCTAGGTATTCTCGCTCTCAAACACTGCATTCCACTGTCCAATTACTCTCTAAAATGTCGACTTTTTTTTTTTTTTGGCTTTTTCGGGTGACAACCGGCAATGCTGGGGTTAATCCTGGCTTTGCACTCAGGAATCACTCCTGGCAGTGCTGGGGGACCTTATGGGATGCTGGGAATCGAACCCAGGTGGGCTGCCTGCAAGGCAAATGCCCTACCCGCTGTGTTATTGCTCCAGCCCCCTAAAATGTCATTTTTTAATAGAACTGTCAGTGAAAATAAGAGCTTCTACGATGCTGTGCTCAGCCAATAGAATTGTTTGGATGGGAAATTTTTTAACTTCCTCATAAGTGCTAGGGAAAACTCCTTAGCCACTAGAGGGAGCTAAGATACAAACTCAACTAGGAAATCCTACTAGCAGTCTACTAGAAACACATAGCTGACCAGTCTATTTTAGTCCTATGTCAGGTCCAAAGTTTAGTTTAAATCCTGTAACTTTACCTTTATAGTGCCATCTGTTGGGATATTTTTTTTTCCCTTTGCAGGTAGGTTTTGATTAGGACTTGGGTATGGAAATAAATCAGAAAATAATTCAGACCTTGGACTTATAAGAAAATGAAGATGTAAATTCTCCCTGCCATACACAGCTCCAGGTATGGGACAGTAAGGACAGGAGTCTAAGGATCTGGTATAGGAGTAGATGTGTAGCAATAATCTAGGTAGGAAATTAGTTTTGTACCAGAAAAAGTGTATATATGCTTTTCAGAAACCTAATTTATATTGTGTGAAACAGTTTGGGGGATGAAATCCAAACTTTCACACAATTTGGGGGATGACACCCAACTGTTTGAGATATCTTCAGCCTTGGGTTTGGGGGTGTGGAAGGTTGGGCTACACCAGCCATGTGCAGGGCTTATTCCCTGCTCTGCTTAGGGATCACTCCTTCAGGTGTTCAGGTGATTATCTGCTGCGCTAGGGACAATCCTGACAGAGTTAGCCATGTGCAAGCCTGAATTCCTGTCATACCTCTTTAGCCTTTGCATAGATTTCTCCTGATGTTTGTCTTAAAATAACCTTCTTACCAGGTTGTCATACTTTTAATTTTCTAGTCCTTAAGTTTCTTGTGATTAAAAAATTAGTACATAGACTTCGTTTGTCTTTTTGTTTTTAAGAAAATATTGGGGGCTAGAGCGGTAGTGGAGCAGGTAGGACATTTGCCTTGCATGCAGCCGACCCAGGTTCAATCCCCCAGCATCCCATGTGGTCCCCCAAGCACCACCAGGAGTGATTCCTGAGTGCAGAGCCAGAAGTAACCCCTGAGCATCACTGGGTGTGACCCAAAAAGCCAAAAAAAAAAAAAATTGGGAATTGACCATTAAGCATGACATTCCCACCATTCCTCTTCCCCCAACTTTCTATTACAAGAGTGTAATGACACAAATTTACTTCTTATTTAAATTGTAAGAATATTAAAAACTTAGGTCGTCTTGGTGGATTTAGTCATGGAAATGGGTGTAGAATGCCCAAGTTTTCACTGTAGAATGTACTCAGCTTGGGTCTAGAGTGAAAAGACAGGAGGAAGGGTGCTTGCCTTGCACATGGCCAACCTGGGTTCAATCCCTGGCACCCCATATGCTACCCCAAAACCTGTAAGGAGAAATTCCGGAGCACAGAGCCAGGAGTAAGCCCTGAGCACAGTCGTGTGGCAAAAAAAAACGAAAAACTGGACAGATAGGTAGTCTATGTTTTGGATATGACTATACAATACCATCTCCCCTATCACCGGTATAACTGGGGCCCTGATGGCTGTTCACCCATTACCTCCCATTCTCTTATTTCCCCCTTGATTTCTTTCCTTCTGTGTCCTCCTCTAAACACTGGGATCAAGGTGATCTACTAGACATACCCTCTTTAGTACAACACATTTCCTCATCCAATACTCTATACCACAGATAAATGAGGTCATCCTGTGTGGAGGTTTTGGGGTTTCTGGCTTTGGGTTTTTTTTGTTGGGCTTCATTGAGCCCAGGCTGTACCTTTACCATTGAGGCTGATCTTTCCTAAAATATGTTATTCCCATAATATGAATCAAAGAATGGGTTATAGTTTACCTTTTAAAATAATCTCAGGGGCTGGAGTGATAGCATAGCGGGTAGGGCATTTGCCTTGCACGCGGCCGACCCGGGTTCAATTCCCAGCATCCCATATGGTCCCCTGAGCACCGCCAGGAGTAATTCCTGAGTGTAGAGCCAGGAGGAACCCCTGTGCATCGTCAGGTGTGACCCAAAAAAGCAAAAAATAAGCAAAATAATATTCTCAAGCTCCTCTGGGAGGTGGGAAGGTTGACCTGGTAAATACTATGTGTTTGCTTATGCTTTCACTTTCCTACACTCCTACCTCCTCCAACAGTAACCTTGGTGCTTCAAATCCTAATCATCCACAAAAACAAAACTACATTTCTGGAAGACTGGAGCGATAGCACAGCGGGTAGGGCGTTTGCCTTGCATGTAGACAACATGGCTGACCCGAGTTCGATTTCTCTGCCCCTCTCAGAGACCCCGGCAAGCTACTGAGAGTATCTCGCTCGAATGGCAAAGCCTGGCACGCTACCCTTGACGTATTCGATATGCCAAACACAGTAACAAGTCTCACAATGGAGACGTTACTGGGCCCGCTCAAGCAAATCGATGAACAGCGGGAGGACAGTGACATTTCTGGAACTAAAAAGCAAATGCTAAATCCATATACTGTTTTGTATTTTTCATATTGTAAGATTTTTGTAACATTTGTATTCCCTAACTAATCTAATGAAATGTTGACAGTTTAATGCTGATTGATCAGAGAAGAGGAAAAAACTTTTATTTGTTTATTTTACTTTTATTTTTTAACTAAAAATAAAGTTAAGGAGCTGGAGCTATAGCACAGTGGGTAGGCGTTTGCCTTGCACGTGGCCGACCCGGGTTCGATTCCCAGCATCCCATATGGTCCCCTGAGCACTGCCAGGAATAATTCCTGAGTGCAAAGCCAGGAATAACCCCTGTGCATCGCCGGGTGTGACCCAAAAAGCAAAAAAAAATAAATAAAAGTTAAAAAGAAGTCACTTTCTCCCAGGGTGGGAGAAGCATGCTGAAAGTAGTCTATAGACCAAACATGATTACGACTCAATGCCTTTCTTGCAAAACACAGTACCCAAAAGAAGAGAGAGAACAAGGGGGAATGCCCTGCCACAGAGGCAGGGTGGGACAGGGAGGATGGGGGGTGGGAGGGATGCTGGGACCCGTGGTGGTGGAGGATGGGCACTGGTGGAGGGATAGGTACTTGATCATTGTATAACTGAAACCCAAGCACAAAAATTTATAAGTCTATAACTGTACCTCATGGTGTTTCACTTATAAAAAAAAATAAAGTTAAAAAGTCACTTTCACAAACTGTTAACTGTGAATGGATTGTTGGAGAGTACTTTTACTTTATATTTTTGCTTTTTGGATCACACCTGGTGATGCTCAGTGGTTACTCCTGGCTCTGCACTCAGGAATCACTCCTGGCAGTGCTCAGGGTCCATATGGGATGCTGGGAATCAAACCCGGGTCGGCCGCGTGCAAGGCAAACGCCCTACCTGTGTGCTATCACTCCAGCCCTCAGTACTTTTAATCCTAATGTCTCAAATAGTTCATCCACAGAGACACAAAGCTAGGAAATGTAAAATAAATGCTAACTTTGTTGAAGAAGCAAATGGTGCCCCCAAGTCAGTCTTAGAAAATCCAAAGCTTTCTTAAGTTGTGCATGCTTTCAATATAGATCATCGAAAGGTTTCCTATAAAAAGCTGTTCCCTCATGCTATTTTCTCCTACAACATTATTAGAAATTTTTTTTGAAAAAAAATTTTTTGAGATGACAGTAACAAGACTTTCAGGGGCTATAAGCATGATTCTTTTTGTCCTATATGTTTTTGGTTTGGGGGTCACATCAGGAGGTACTCAGGGTGCCTTGGTGCTTGGTGGTGGTTCCTGGTAATGGTCAGACTGAAGATTGAACCCAGACCTCCTCGATGCAAAACAGGTTCCAGCCAATTGGGCTATCTTTCAGGTTTCCTGAGCTTGAGTCTTTTAGGGGGCATACTTGGCTGTGCTCAGGGACTACTGCTTGCTTTGTGTTCAGTTTCACTCCTGGGAGTGCAGTGCTGGGGATCTGGAAGGCAAACACCACTCTAACCTCTAATCTATCTGGCCCCCTTGAGTTTGATACTTCATTTTCTTTTGTAATTCTTGCATACTTCTCATTGGTAGTGAATCTTTTTGGTTCTTTATGTTAGTATTTGTTCACAAAGGGATTTATCTGTAGATTTATATAGTCAAGAAACCAGATCGGGGGGCAGAGAGATCATACAGTAGGTATGATACTTGCCTTAGCACACAGCTAACCTGGCCATCCCCAGCACCCTGTATGGTCCCCTGAGCCCTGCCAGGAGTGATCCCTGAGTTCAGGGCCAGGAATAATTCCTGAACACCTCTGGTAGTGGCCCTTGTCCCCCCCCCCCAAAAAAAAAGCTCAGTATGTTTCCTCAAGGTGGTAGAGTCAACATTAACCCCAGGCCCCTGACCCCAGTCTTTAGGCAGATATAGGATCAACTAGTTTAAGCAATTCTCAATATCAATATCAGCTCATTTAATACGCAAACACCCAAGTCCTACAAGCATGCCCAGATCTACTGTTGGAAATTCTGCCCCTTCATGATCAGCTGAAAAATTTAAGCATTTTGGGACTGGAGAAAGAATGAAGCAGGTAGGGTGTCTGCTTTGCATGCCCCTGACCTGGGTTCAATCCCTAGCACCCCATATGATTCCTCAAGCATTTCCAGGAGTAATTCATGAATACATAGCCAGGAGTGACCCCCGAGCATTGCTGTGTGTGGTGCAAAAATGACAAAATTGAACATTTTTAGGTGAATTGCATGTTATTTGTGCTTTGCTCTTCAGCATGTTTATTGTGTCACATGATGCATGTGCTTATTGTTGCCTTTAAGCTCTTTTCTAATTTTATGTTCCTATGTTTCTCCCAACTACATGGTAGAACAGGAATGTTACTTTGTATTACTTCATGACATCAAGTACGCTGGTACACACCTTAAAGTTTATAAAAAGTTCACAAAACTAGCTTAGATCTGATATGCAGTGCGGTCCTCCCATTGGATTGTGTTTTTGGTGGCTTTGGTTTTGAGGCCACATCCCATAGTGCTTCAGGGGAGGGGGGATGGGGAGGGGCTATGGAGGTGATGGTTATCAGGGATCAAACCTTGAGTTTTGATATAAAGCATGTGCTCAGACATATGCACTATCTCTGTGACCCAGATTGGGTTTATCCGTAAAGTGTGACCTTAAGGCTTGAGTCATGCTCTTGCCTCTTTGTTTTCTTTTTGTTTTATATGTGTGTGTGGGGGGGGACACCTGGCAGTGCTCAAGATTTATTCCTCACTGTGTTCAGGGATTATTACTCTTGGTGGGGTTTGAGGGACCATATGTGGTGCTGAGGATCAAATCCAGATCAGCTGCTTGCACTGTACCATCTTTCTGGTGCCTTTTAAATGAAGAGATGAGAAAATGGAAAACTGTAGGATAATGTACAGCTGTGGGATGTTTTGTTTTGACATTAGATTTTTGTATCACACTTCGGCAGTGCTCAGGGGACCATGCAAGACTGATGTCCAGCCTAGAGCCTCCACATGTGAAGCATGTACTCCAGTCCTTTGAACTATCTCCCAACCCCTACCTTACTGCTAATGAACTACCTTTATAATGTACTTTGGTGTATTTTAATCCTGAAGTACTATTAGCCTTATCAGAGGAAGTATGCGCAAATAGGTAAAATGATTGGCCTAGAACTTGATTTCAGGTCTTCTAGTGACAAATTAATGTGTATTCTCCTACTTGCTGATTACTATTTTACTTTTTCATTTACCATTTTTATTTTTTTGATTTTGGGGTTTTTGGGTTTATTTGAGGTTTTTTGGAATTTTTTGTTTTTTAGCTTTTTTGGGTAACACCGATAATGCTCAGGGGTTATTCCTAGCTCTGCACTCAGCGAACCTGGTGGTATACCTGGTGGTACTCAAGGAACCATATGGGGTACAGGAGATTGAGCCCTGGTCTCCCACGTTTAAGCCAAAGCCCTCCCTACTGGCTGTACAATCGCTCTGGCCCCCTTTAACTTTTTTTTAAAACACCAGTATGCCTTTTCCAGTGGAGAGATTTTTAGTGGGAGTATTCAAATGAATATTACCTGTAATATCCACCTAATTCCACCAGGGTGTCCCATAAGGCTGTCTGATCCATGTTCTTACCCTAGCTGGGGACAATGACAAAGCTGGAATTAATCTCTTTACAATAGCCATGGCCCAAAGCCCAGGAGCAAGCAAGTGAGGTGCTTAAGAGTGCATAGCTAGCATCGGAGAAGCCCATGACTTCTTTTGACCCCTTTCTGTCCCATAGAAGGAGAGCAATGGATAGATAAACCTACAGACCTCTACATGTTTGGTAGCTAAGTACACGTGTACACTGATTTGTATCAGTGAGAGAGTCACATCACAAAATATCTAGGTAGATGCAGTTTTTTAAATGGGCGGGGGATTGGGACATACCCAGTAATGGTCAGGAGTTACTCCTTACTCTGCACTCAGGAATTACTCTGGATAGGGAAGGGGAGGGCTGGGGGGGGGGGGACAGGCGGGGGGCGAGAGCACAGCGAACCAGGAATTGAATCTGAATCAGCTGCGTGCAAGGCACCCTACCTCTTGTACTATCTTTTTGGCCCCGTAGATGCACTTTTTTCAAATCAATCTGTTGTGGCTTCCTAGTTTCCAGTTTGCACTGAACATCTACATGTTTCTTAGCTCTTAGCTTTTAGGTATCAGTTTTGATACTTGCAAATTTAGATTACAGTCGGCAGTGTCAATGCAACCTCTTCAAAGAAAACCGTGAAGGGAAATATTTTTAATACTAAAAACAGCAAACAGCTCCTTTTAAAATTGCTGCTTTTTGGGGTATGGAGCAATAGCACAGCGGGTAAGGCGTTTGCCTTGCATGCAACGAACCCACATTCGATTCCCAGTATCCCATATGGTCCCCCAAGCACCGCCAGGAGTAATTCCTGAGTGCAGAGCCAGGAGTAACCTCTGAGCATCGCCGGGTATGACCCAAAAAGAAAAAAAATATTGCTGCTTTTGGGGCTGGAGCGATAGCACAGCGGGTAGGGCATTTTGCCTTGCACGCGGCCAACCCGGGTTTGATTCCGAGCATCCCATATGGTCCCCTGAGCACTGCCAGGAGTAATTCCTGAGTGCAGAGCCAGGAGTAACCCAAAAAGAAAAAAAAATTGCTACTTTAAAAAACTTCTCTATTTCGTATTTATTTTCTCCTGGAGGACATCCTTAAAAGTATCCTGATTTGGGTCTGGAGCATTAGCACAGTGTGTAGGGTGTTTGCCTTGCATGCGACCAACCCGGGTTCGATTCCCAGCATCCCATCTGGTCTTCTGAATACCGCCAGGGTGATTCCCGAGCGCAGAGCCAGGAGTAACCCCTGTGCATCCATTGCTGGGTGTGACCCAAAAAGAAAGAAAAAAAAGTATCCTGATTTCACTAGATACTCTGAATATTTGCTTAACTAAAATAAGCAAAACCTTGATGATCGTTATGGGATAGTTTAACAATACAACATTGGAGTTTTCACATTAGCAAAGTTTTTGTTTTTATTTCCAAGCCAATGAAAATTCATTATAAGGAAATTTAGTTGCTGGATGCCCTGCCATACTAGGTTAGAATGAACACAGTCTGAATTTAGGGCTATATCTGAGCTGATTCTCCGTAGATGATCACCTATGCTCTGTCTTTAGAACCCGGTACTTCCAGGGCTCTTACAGCCACCAGGAGAGCCTTACTAAATTTAAGCATTACTCATTGGAGGTGTTGGACAGTGGTGTCCCTTTTTCTCTTACCTCTTCCTAGATGAGTTTCCATTCCCAATCACCTGTGTTTTTAAGATCCCAAATCTACCTCTAGTCGCCAGACTTATCTTTGAAAAATTACAGCTCTTTGTTGAGAGCGCTAAACACAGATGATAGTACTAATTGGGACACTTCTGAATGCTTTTCTTAAGTGATCTGAGAAACAGTTAAATAAACTTGTATGTAGAACATTCATGATTGTTTCCTCAGTCTTCAGCATGAGTTTTGCTAGATTATGTAGGATACTGGGCTAATTACTATATGATCAAAAGTTACCAGTTCCAATACAAACAAAATCTGCTTGTTCTGAAAAGTGTCATTAAGGATTTTTTTGGTTTTGGTTCTGTATCTTAGATATCTTTTGGATGTATATTGGTCTGAAACACCCTTCCATATGTGAGGAATGAATATATTATGCCTTTTCCATCTAGAGTGCAAACTACTAAAAGGCACAAATGTGTATCCTATCCGCTTGGAAGGTCTGTTAACTGGGGTTGCCTCATACCTGATGCTCAGGAAGCATTTTCACTGGCTTGGATAGACTACTTGCCATCTGTTCTACGAGCATTCACTGCTGAATGAAAGGGGAAAGTGAAAGGGGAGAGCAGGAGAGAGGAAGCTGAAAAAATAAGAGGAAACAGCTGGGAACTGAGGAGGGGGGAGTCTTATGTAAGGTCAGTGAAACAAAAAGCTAGCAGAGGACAGGGTCAGGCCTTGGGGCTAGAGGGCTAATTAACTTCTGTCAACTAGTTAAGTAAAGCCTTGTGTGCTTTGTTAAAGAAACTTAGTTCAAAGGAGGAAAAAATCTTGAGTGAATCTAACTAGTTCTTTTTGTGTACAGTAGTAAATAGTTCAAGTCAAAATCTATGCTGTCTTCTAAAGAATTCTGGTCGTCTTCCTTCAGACCTAATAGAGCTTTCTGCCACTGCTCAGCACCAAAGGGTGAAAAGCTTCAAGTAGTTATGGATAGCAGGTAAGCTTAAGGAGTAAGTGCTGAGTACCGCTGCTGTTCCGTTGTGCTAACCACAGCACTCCAGATCCCCATGCCTCCTTTTATGGCTGGGCCCCGTGTCTGTATAGGACTTTAGATAGCTTCTATCTCAGAGACTTTTCAGGGTCAGGAAGCATCCTTGTTGGAATTAAACCCCAGAGCTTTAGCTAGATCTCATGCTGTCCTAGCCTGAGTTGCCATCTTTCGCATTGCTTTCTAGACTGGAGTAGACTTCCTAAAGCTTATGCTAGCCTTGTGCTGTTGCACCCGTGTCTTATATTACCACTCTTCTTTTGCTCACTCCGTGAGCACACTGGCTAGGTTTCCTCAACATGCTTCATTCCCTGTTCCCTTCACTGCCAGGCATGGAGAGGCACTCAGTCAGAGATTAGATTGACCCAATAAGGCTTTTTCTTCTTCTTCCTATCTAGGCCAATGAAAGGGAGAAGGAGGAGTGCTGACTCAAAAAGAGAGAGCCATTAAAATCTGCATGTATTAATATTCTTACTTTTTGGAGACTTCTGAGGAAACTGAATTCTTCTGAACTCTGGACTAACCCCAAATACTTTATGAAGAAGAAATTGAAGAGATGTTTCTATAGGAGTTTGGGTAAACAGTATTCACTTGATATATCTGCTTTTGCTCTGCCCTTACCCTTCACATGAACATTTGAGAAGCCATTGACAAAATAGTAGGTTTTTTTTTCAAATTAGTTAATTTTTCTAGTAATGCAGAGGGGTAGCACAATGCTATTAGTGTCATTATATCCCCTTTAGCCAGTAGAACGTATTCAGGGTGGGTGATAAAATGAGTGAAAAGAGCTGTGCCTCTGAACCAGAATCACAGTAAATGGAAGAGTGTATGTTTTTGACTACTAACATGATGTAACTGAGCTAAGCTTTGTAGTTTGGTTCAGGACCATCAAATGTGTGTGACTGGTTAAGTGTCAGCGTTTTTGAAACTCAGCCATTACCCTGAGCTTGGGGCATCTGAGGGCAGAGAGGAACAGGTGTCTAAAGAAGAAGCGTTCATGAGATTATGTTTTGCAGTTATATTGAATTTCTGGGTGTATTTTTGACTTGTCTTTAGTTTCTTTCCTCCTTGTGGCCTCTGCTATTTTGCTTGCTATTTATTTGTTTGATTCCTTCTGTCAGCCATTCAGGAGTTGTAAATGGAAGTCAGTAATTCTACTCAAATGTACTGTGGATGGAGCTGATAGGCTTGCATTGATCCCTGGCATGTTTTCAAGTAGAGTTACGCTGATGAATGTGTTTCTGTGGGTCTGGACTTATTTTTGTCATCCTAGGTGTGTGACCCCAAGAAAAGAATAAGTTGTTTGAGAACACTCAACTACAAGTTGAACTAAATGCCTATTAGGAAAATGGGTAGATTTTCCCCTGCCTTTTGTTTTCTGTGACTATATTCAGCTGTTAAGGAACTTAAATAGGTATGGGGGGGGGGGGGAGTAAATTGTTTCCCCGTCCTTATCATGCCAGTTAAAACAGAAATGAGTGTTGACACTTTAGGTGGTAGCACTGAAACACAAACCCAACTTCTGACCACATGGGCCACAGGCAATTGGCTTAAGGCCTTAGCGTGGTTGTGGATGGTGTGGGTGGGTAGAGTGGAGCAAGGACAGGAAGATTACTTCTGCTTTCCTCCCAGAGAGGCTTGGGTTTTTTTGTTTGTGTTTGGGGGGAACCGGGGAACATTATTCCCTTTGGTCTAGAGAGAATGCTTCCTTTCCTTGACTGCATTAAGACTAGGAATGAAGGGTCACCTTGCTCTGGCAATTGTTTCTAGTTATTTCTAAACACTGCAATCCTGGTTTAATAGTTTGTCAGACCTCTTTACAAGAAGAGTTTAATTCATTAACTTGCCAGTTTGGAACCCCTGACTTAAATGAAAGTTTTGGGTTTGTTTTTTGTTTGTTTAGCAGTCTTACTCCGGATCAAGTAACTGGCAACATCAGAGTTGGTCTTTTTTGGAGGGGCCACTGCGTGCTATGCTTAGGGATCACTCTTGGTGGTGCTTTAGGAAACCATATGTGATGCTGGGGACTGAACCCAGGTCAGAACCATGCTATTTGTTTTGTCACCTGTCATTAGCCCTTTGGCCTTTTCCCTTAAGACTTTTTGTGGGTCTGGAGAGATAGTAGAACAGTAGAGTGGGTAGAATGCTTGCTTTGCACATGGCCAACCTGGATTCTGTCCCTAGCACCATATGTGGTCTCCTGATCACTGCAAAGAGTGATCTCTGAGCAAAGAGGCAGAAGTAAACCGTGAGCACTGCCAGGTACTCCCCTCCCCCAACCAAAAAAAAAAAAAAAGACTTTTGTTTGGGGAGCCCACATCTGGTGGTACTCAAGGGAAACTCCTGGCTCTGTGCTTAAAGATTGCTCTAGAGAACATTCTGTGCCACGGATTGCACAGGATTCCCTGTTTATACAAAGTAGATAGTCAATCTGTTGAGCTATCTCCCTGGCCCCTTGAAGAATCTTTGGAAGAGAGGGATAGGGCATGGGGAAAAACCTGTCACTAGGAGAGAAAATGCGAGGACTAATAACTGATTCAGAACTAGTGTGCAGAGTTCCCAGCCCCAAAGTTAATCTAGAACCAGCCAATAGTACCAATAAGAATATTTACTAATTACTCTGCTATTCCAGGAAATGTTTAAGCATTTTACATAAATTTATCATTTAATTCATAAGTCAGTTCCTGAAATATATAGGAAGTTATTTTGTCCTCATTTCTCAGATAAGGAAACTTGAGACCCTAAAACTTTAAGTGACTGGTTGTACAAGCTGTGGTAAGGGATGGGGAATCTGAATAAGGTGGAAAGAGATACAACTTTTACTTGGGTGGATGTAGGCACATCATATTTTTTGCTTAAACCACCAGACATTTCCATTTTTCGTCATCTCTGTAATTATTTGGGTTATCATATGACATTTTAGACATTTGTCATACATTGGTTACTGAAAGTTGTTTACTATAATCAAGACAAATTTACTGTCTTTAAATATCTAGTCTATTTTTGGGGAGAAGGAGGTGCCACACCTAGTTGTACTCAGGGGTTACTCCTGGCTCTGCATTCAGGAATTACTCCTGGAAGTACTAGAGGGACTATATGGGATGCTGAGGATTGAACACAGACTGTTTATATGCAGTGCAAGCACCCTATCCATTGTACTGTTGCTCCAGCCCGATATCTGCAGTCTTTTGATTGAACCCTTGTTCAATGGTCTGTGGCAGCTCACTTGAAGGTAGACTCAATCTGTGACAAGAGTATTGTCTCCTAAGAGTAGAAATGCCCCTGAGGGGATGGAGTCTTTGATCTCACTGGTTTCATTATTCCTTAAAACAGTTGGAGTTGTTTTTGAGTATTTCTTCCAAACTTGGTTATTTTCCAAACTTAAAGATTAAAATTTTTCTTCTGGGTTTTAAAAAGTTTTTAATTTTAAGGAAGAATTTGAGAAGCAATCATGAAGTCTGATTTTTGCCTGTTGATAGAGATAAAATTAGCTGTCTTCATTAAGGAAAGTGAATTGTGACCCTTTAGTAATGAGAACTGGACTGTTTTTTACTTGACCTCTACTTCCTGTTAGTGGGGGAACCCCTTTACCAGAGGTACTGTGAAAAAGATTGCTGGAAAAGGGTTCCTAGAACTTCAGATAAGAAGTTCAAGAGAGTCTGGCAATATTGTCTTCAGACTAGAGTGGTCTTCCTTGGCCGGGGATATGGGTCAGTGAAAAAAGCTCATGTTTCACATATGTGAGGGCCTTACTGTGTTCTCTCTCTAACCCCAGAAAATTTTTGTTTTATTTTGGGTTTTTTGTAGCAGGGGTTTTTGTTTATTTGGGGGCCATATCCAGTGGTTCTCAGGACTCACTCTGACTTGGCTCAGGGATCATTTCTGTCTGTGCTCAGGGTACTATATGGTATGCTGGTGATTGAACCTGGATCAGCCATGTGCAAGACAAGTGCTTCATTTGCTGTACTATCTCTCTAGCTCCTGAAAAAAAAATTTTTTTTTAAATGCTGGTCTGGTGGGTTGGAGAGATAGTACAGCAGGTAAGGTGGTTTGCCTTGCATATGTGGCCAACCTGAGTTTGATCTCAGCACCCTATGTGATTTCCCAAGCCCCGCCAAAGGTGATACTTGAGCTCAGAGCCAGGGTAAACTCTGAGCATAACTGGGTATGACCCCTTTCCATTCCCTCTCCCACAAAAAATAGTAATCTGTTACATACTGATATTTATAATCCCAAAGCTTTGCCTGAAAAGGCAGTGAAGTAGGAGAGTCTGTATGAGAGGAAGAAAACTAAGATGAACTGAGATATGACTATTCATGTATGTATTTAGTCAAGAAAGCAGCAGATATATTCAATCAATGAAAACAAAAGACTGTGTAGTATCTAAAAGTCAGCTCTAAAAGGTATTGTGGTATACCTAGTTAATACCCTTTCATCAAGGTTTTCATCTTGATTCCTAATCTTGCCTGTGTCTATAAACTTAGTTTTCCTGAACCATTTTCCTTTTCTTTCTAAAAGATTAATGGACAACAATAGGCAACATAGAGAAGTCACTATGGCAGTTTATCAGGGAAATGTATTGGAAAGTGTTAATCACTTTCTGCCCTCTCCTGTCTTAGGCTGACCTGGTGTGTGGCCAGCTTCTGCTAGTGATCCAAACTGCAGAATATTCCCAAGGCCTCCCAGAAATATCCCAAATGGAACCAGGCCATCATTTTCCGGTCTCTCACTCTGGTGGCTGTGATGGGAAGGAAAGAGTGGGTGGGAGTGTACACATGTAGTGGATGGATAGGAGGAAACAGCCAAATCACTCTACCTCTTAGGTCCCCGTTACCAATAGAATTCTACAACAGTATTTTTACTGTGTATGCATGGGGGGAAGTTGGAGATGGCACTCTTGATTAGCATGCATCTGAAGAGGAATTAAACGGAGGGGGTGAGATAAGAAACAGTTGGTTATGAAAGCTGTTGAAGTCTTGAAATAATGTAACCATCTGAGGAATGCTTTAAACCAGAGTTTATAAAAATATCGCTGATACCACCTGCCCCCTCACTTCCTGCCACAGGAGACTTCTTGGACTGGAGACACTCGTTTAATAATAGCTTGTCTGATACTCCAGTAGCTGCCGTAGATGAGGAAAGGCAGAAAACCTTCCTGCCACCACCCCGCGAAGTGCCAGTAGCGGCGACGCCTACACACACGAAGACTTGGAACTGCCGCTGAGGCAGGGGTCACCTCTGTGACATCTGACGCTGTCCAACCAGAAGTTTAATTTTTGTTTTCCTTTGGGAGGTGGTGGGGGGGGGACGGGACGCTGCTTGTACTAAAGGACTAAAATCATTTGTACTCTCCCTGGTTTCTCTTTTTTTGGCGGGAGAGGGCTGAATCTGACGTCGGAGGACTGGACGGGCGGCGGGGGAGGACGGGGAAGCTCAGCCCTTCACCCAGGAATGACCCAGTAATGACATCTCGGCGCGTGGGAAGTGTTTCCCGCGGCGGGGCGCCGGGAGGCTGCAAAGCCGCACCCCGGCGGGGCTCCTGCCGCACGGGGAAGGCCACCCCGAAGCAGGCGCGGCGGGGGCGGGGTGGGGGCGCGGGGCGCGGGCGGGACGGGCGGCCGAACGCCCAAGGGGCTTCCCCGGCTTCCCGCGAGCGCGGCGGCGCAGACGGGGGAGTCGGGCGCGGGGGCCGCAGCGGCCCGGGCCTTCCGTTCCGGGCGCGGCGGGCAGGGCGCGGCGGCGCGGGGCAGCGCCGCGCCGTGCCCGGCCAGCCAGCGCCAGACCCCGGCGTCCTCCATCTTCTCTCCTGAGCTCCCCCTGCTCCAGCTGCCGGCGCCGCGGACCGCAGCACCACACACCCCCGCGGGGGGGGACGCCGCGCCCCATCCCCGCCCCCGGCCCCACCCCAGCCCCCCCGCGGGGGCCCTGACCCCACAGCCGCCGGGCACTGGCTGAGCTCCGAGGCGGAGAGCCGGCAGCCCGGACGCGCAGGAGGGGTCGGGAGCACGGGGGGCGGCGGCCGGCGGCTCGGGGCTCCCCCCCCGCCCGCGCTCGCCGCCGCGGTGGTGCGTCCCGGAGGTTACCGGAAGTGGCCGCGCTAGGCGCTGCCATGTTGAGGAGCCGCCGCTGCCGCTGCCGCCGCCGCCGCCGCCGCCGCTTTGTTGTCGCCTCCTCCGGCTGAGGAGGCTCCCCGAGCGGGGGGAGTGGGGAGGAGGGGGGTCGGCCGCCGCCGTCATGGAGGCCAACTGGACCGCGTTCCTGTTCCAGGTACTCGGGGCCCCCCCGGGGGGGACACGGGGGGGGGACAGGGGGGCCGGGCCCCGGGCTGGCGGGCGGGCGCTCCTCCCTCCCGGCCCCGCTCTCCGGCCCGGCCTTAATCCCCCTTTGTTTTTCCGCCCGCCCGCCCCGGCGGAGCGGGGCCGCCGAGGTGAGAGGAGGCGGCCTCACGGGGTGCGGGGGAGCGCGCAGGCCTCGGGGTGAACCCCGGCCCCCCCCCGAGTCCACACACGCACACACCCTTCGCGCCCGCCCCGGAGGGGAAGGGAGGAGGCCGGCGGCTGTCAGCACCCGCGGCCCGGGGCGCGCCGGGCGCGAGCGGCGGGGCGCGCCGGGGGGCGGCCGGGGGTCCCCGCGCGGCCCGCGTCCCTCTCGGGCCGCGCCGCCGCGCTCTCTTTTTGTGTGTGCGCGCGTGTGTGTGCGTGCGTGTGCGTGTGTTGACTTTCTGACACCCCCATCTCTGCGAATAGCGGGTATCCCCGGGTTCCCCGCCACTCCCCCTTCCCGCCCCCCCTCCCCAGCGCGCGCCGTGTTTACCCCGCCGGGGCGGGCGGGCGGGCGGGTGTCGGGAGTGCGTGTCCCCTCCCCGAACTTTTCCCCGGGATCCCGACGCGACGGTCGCGCCGCGGGGCCGCTGACACCCGGGCCGGGCCCTCGCGCCGCCCCGCCGGGGAATCCCCCTGCCGCCCGCCGCTCCCGCCGCCCGTTTCCTCCGGCCGGCCCCGTGCGGGAGACGGAAAGCGGAGAGCGCAAACAAAGTCCGCCGACAAAGCCCCCGCGTGAGTCACCCGCGGGGGTGTGGGCCTGCACTTTCTGCGAGAAACTTGCGAGGGACTCCGGCCCGGCCGCCGCCGGCCGCTCCTGCCCACCCCTTTTTTGGGGAGGGGGGGCGGGATGGGGGGGCCGCTTCGCGAGTACCCGGGCGCAGCGCTGTGCTTTGCTGCCGGGCGCCTATTTGCGGACGGGGCACTTAGTGGGCAGGAGTGATGAGCTCACGAGGAAACTTAGGGACGGAGGGGGGGTGGGAGGGAGGTTAGGGCGCTCGTCACTTGGAAGTGCGTTCTTCCCGCCTCGCCGAGTGATTTTTTTTTTTTCCTTCGTCGAATAACTTTTCTCGAAATCCAAACGCATAGCTGGGGCGCTTGAGACCTTTTTGGAACCAACCAGGATCGAATGCGGAATTTTCAAAATAGCCTCCCCAAACCGTTGGACTCATCCCAGTGGAGTTTATAGGGAGAATTGGAGAATTCAACCATTTCCTATTGTGTAGAGCCGGTTTATTGTTGTAAGACTGTATTTTTTTTTTTCAATATGTGAGTAATCTGGTTTTCAAGTGGTGGTTGAAATGTATTTGGGGCTTCTTAAAATTGAAAATACTAAAAATTATGGTACTGGCCTACTTCGACCTTTTCTTATTTTCACCTAATATCATTTTATTGTGCTTTGATGAGCATAATAGTGTAATAAGCCAATTTTAAAATGCATTGGAAAGGAAATTATGGCCTCCAGGTTGGTGTAAGGTAGTGCAGATGCCTTTTCTAGATAAAACTTTCAAATGCTCATTTTAAAATAAGAGATTAATAGGCCACAGAAGTGATTTTCACGTGATTTCGATTTGCCTAAACTTGTTCTCTTCAAAATTAATGGAAATTAATAGGGAAAAAAAGTAAAGAAAACAAAACCTTTAACTTTTAAAAACTGCTTGAAAAAATTTTGGGGATGCTCTGATACTTTCTCCGGATAAAGTAAATGCCAAACATTTACTAATAAACAGTTTATTAGATTTTATATATATATACATTTTACTTATCACAAATTGTTTTTCACCTTATGGAAAAAGTGTAAAAGCTAATATTTTTGGTCTTGGCAGTGTGTGCTGTGAAAATTATTGGAAAGTTTATGATTTAGAGCCAAGGACAGCTTGACTGGATAATGAGACTATATCACACTTTTCTATGGAATTGTCTGAACAGTCTTAATCAGTTCCAATTTTAAGTAATTTTCACCGGGGAAATGAAGAATTAAACACTTGTTTGTTTCTAGGGACAGACTATTGAATTTACATTTAAAAACAGTTTAATACCTGCTTACTTTCTAGATAACCTGGTGCAAAGTGAAAGCCAAAGCTGTTAAAATATTTGATGGATGATTCTCCTAACAGGACATTCAAGATATGACTCACTGATGCTAATTTGTTTCAGTACAAAATCTTTTACCCTCTGGCACTGGAGATTTCATGGTGCCATATCCTACCACCTTGGGTGATGAAATAACATTTGTTTTGTTTTTTGCCAGCCTTGGAAAAAAGGGAAAGTTTAGAAGGGGCTGGAAATGGGGCTTTTACAGTTGAAAGAGATGGGAGATATATTTTGAAACTTGGGTTTGATGATGCAAGTCAAATGAAAGTCTTTTCAGAAGTTTTAGCCCTTTTTTTTTTTTTTAATCACTTAATTGAAGGCAGGCTGAACAAGTTGGGAACCCAGATCCTTCTTAGAAGTGTGGGGATCCTAGGAATCCTTAGAGAGTGATTCTCCGTCGTGGTCTACAGCGTTTTACCCATGAAGCAGGGACCCGGTGTGACCCTCTTGTGAGAGTGAGCTTCAGCAGTGCTGTTAAAAATACTTTATGTTGCCACAGACTTCTGAATTGGTAAAATGGCAGTAAGTGCTTTTAGTACTCCATCCAACTAATGGTTGTTGAGAATTGAAAAATGCCTCTAAATGCTATAAGTCTGAACTTTGTCCAGAAGATTTGCATTCTCTATTATCTGATCTTTGAAATTGTATATCTTGAGCTATCTTCAGCTATTAACTGTTTGTGTACTATATGGAAACTTGGGTATGTTATGGCCATGTTGGAAAGGGGGTAAGATTAGAGTTGAAGTTCTGTAAAGTTTCTACTTATCTCACCTGGACAGTTTATAGCAGGTCTATAAAGTGAATCAAAAGTAGACTGTAATTCAGTATTAGCACCAAGTCTAGAAAGATACTCATAAATAATCACAATTTCTGTGTGTGCCTCCACTATTAAATTGAAACTGGTAGCTCTGGTCACCACACCTTTTAGTTGTTTGGTGGAGGGGATGGGGGGAGAATTAGCTCCAGGTTTAGCTGTTGTGCTGCTAGCAAGTAATATGCAATGAAGGGATAGATTTCTTTTCCATTGAGGAGGAACTGTGTGAGTGGAGGTGTCTTTTTTCGTTTTGTTTCTTTCTCTTTAACTGTAGAATTTAGGATTGTAGTGTCAGAAGGGTAGGGTAAGTCGGGGCTGAAGCTCTAGTACAGTAGGTAAGGTACTTGCCTTACATGCACCTGACCTGGATTTGATCCCCAGCATTCCATATAGTCATTCCCCTCTCCTGCCTCCAAGCACTGTCAGGAGTAATTCCTGAGTGCAGAGCCATGAGCTTCACCCCTGAGCATCACCAAGTATAACCCAAACACTTAGAAAAGGTGGGGAGGCTGGTAAATAAATGTCTAGTGTCTAAAATGAAGAGATATGTTCCTTTTAGAACATTAGAACATTGTATGTATTAAATATTTGGACTCTCACCTCTCTCTCCGTGTATCTTTGGAGGATCACAAAACCCAAGATAGGGGCTTGGGCTTGCTGTCAAGTTTCCAAAAGACAGCATATTAGGAAGAACTATTTCAGGAATTCTGTCTCTCATTTTTCAAATGTTTATCAGTATGGAGGTATGGAGAATTTGAAAGAATCAAAAATCAAGAGAATTCTCACGAATACCAAGAACGTGATCCACAATGAAATTTTAATTTTGATGCAGCTAAAGAAAATTACCAGAATATCCCATTCCATGCCTCCCACTTTGGAGAGGAGAAACTCCTTTTAACAGCAAATACCTAGTACTTTAATGAAACCTACAACAACCGGATGAAGATGAAAATGAAAGGAATTTTATTTTTGGTTTGTTTACTCTTATTAGTCTGTCCTTAAGAATTTAGAGTTTGAATAACCAGTGTTGCTCAAGGATGCAGACATCTAGATAAGGCTAAATGAGCTGAGGAACAACTGACTGGTGTTTTGCTATGGGCTACCTTCGCAGATGCCTTCCTGTTTGATTAATAGCAGATTTCATTTCAACCAGATCTTTGTTATTTAAAAACTTTAAAAGTAAACTTAACAACTAGCATGTGTACTCAGAGAACTAGATTTCCTTTATTGCTTACCAACAGTCTCCTTCCTCAATACTTGAGAGTTTTCTGCTGGAAAGAGACAGTGTCTTTTCCTAGGTAATAGACAAATAGATTATTACTAATGTATGTGTGTGCGTGGTTTGTGTGTTACTGCAGTTAAGATTCTGTTAGATACTTAAGTCTAGAGTGGACTTTTTTGGACAGGTTATTTAAACTTGGTTTCAGCATAACAGGCCAATAAAGCAAGCCGATTTCTTCAGCCAGTATATGATATCCCTTATGTACCAGGGTGGTGTGTAGTTTAGTCATCTGTTTGAAAACAAGGTCACTGTCAGCAACTTAGTTGCAGTTTACCGTCTGCACAGTGATTTTAAATACTCTGTAGTGGGAACTCGGAGAACTAGTGGTGGTTGCTGGGTCTCTGCTGCAGTGAGTGGTTTACAGGCTTTTTAACGGTTTCTTCTAGAAGATCTCTGTTGTCTGGACCGTGTTGAATTTTGAAGGTCATTGTGAGAGGCTGAGTTTCTGAAGTGTAAATGTTTGGTTTTAGGCCCATGAAGCCTCCCATCACCAACAGCAGGCAGCACAGAACAGCTTGCTGCCCCTCCTGAGCTCTGCTGTGGAGCCCCCCGATCAGAAACCATTGCTTCCAATACCAATAACTCAGAAACCTCAGGCTGCTCCAGAAACATTAAAGGATGCCATTGGGATTAAAAAAGAGAAACCCA